TCGTTGCTTAACTTCACTGCGAGTTCTGTTGGAAATTCTATAGTGAGGTTTGAATGGCCAGAGCACTCTATTGTCAGGAATAAATGACATATTGCAGAGGTGATTTCTGTGGGTATTTCTAATGAGAAGAACACATATGCAGCTAATCACTTCGTAGTTTTCATTAGAAAATCGATAATCTTTAGAATGAATAGATTCCAGCTACTTTTGCGTCTTCGTGTCGCCTATTTTAGTAAAGTGATAGCGTCCTTTTCTACTCATTAATCGTCCTGGTGGCAAAAAATATATCTGTTCTATTTTTATAGTCAACGACTACCACATATCAAGAGGCACAGTCAATAACAGTCACCTGCTCATTCGTCTATGAGCCTCACGTTTCCTTGAACACCTCCTACTGTCACCAAAATGTAGAGTGGGATTTTGGGTGGTGACAAATTCTATGACCATTCACCAATTAGATTATCATCGATGTGACCTTCATGAGTTAGGAAAACAATACAACACAGGCTGGAGTGTTCCCTTTCCCCTTTTCCCTGCAATTTCCTTTTTTCGGTGCTCGAAAGGGCTAACCTGATTCCTTATTTTCTCAGACGACCACTTCTGAAGGCGCACCTCCGAAAGCAGTGAGCACCGAATGACAACAATGAACGAAGGGAAAATATGCATTAAATCTTAGCCTTCATTGGAGTATTGCATACAAAGCCAACTGATTTTATGTATCCAAGCGGCGAAAGTAGAATAGGATGCTCGTACGAAGCAGCTGAGTAAGCCAGATCTGTGGTCTGTGTGGACAGTCACAAGCGCCTGTATGTAATCACACTGAGCTTATATTGTGACGTTGGAAAATAAGGAAACTCTCGGATTTGTGAACTAGAAAACTGCACAGAATACACTAAATAAGAGATGGACCTCTGAGGTGTACGAACAGTCCGAAGAATTATTATTTGAGTCAGCATGTCATTTAGTCTGTTAAACGGGCTAACTTATATTCAGAGAGATCGATATCAAGAATTGCATGTAGTATGTATTGATCAAAACTCGTGATTTTTGAGCCGTTAGCCGCTGCGACGACTTTTGGGCGATGACTATAAGATGAGATAAATCAAACGCAGCATATCGTGTTCCAAGATCATTTGCATAACTTATTAAAATTGATTGAATGTTGAGAATAGTATGAATGTATTATAAACTACCGTTCTATCGCACGTAAGAGTTATACACGTTGCAAAACCAAATGAATGTAGAAATCAATTGCTTTGCTGCAAAATATAACGAAGAACCCGAGAAACTTTTCTAAGGTAAAGAAAAAAACATTACACAAATAAGGAAGATTGAGCAGCGCTTTGCAATTCGCGTTGTGCGGCACCTTCATTACCGCCAATAATGGGCTAACCATACTTTGAAAAAGACAGTAAAAAATATTCTCAAGCTGTATGTGAATGTTTCGACATAGTTTGCATGGTCGATAAAAGATGCATTGTATTGTTTATACCAGCTGCAAGACACCGACTGTAGAACAGTTGGCCTGTGATCTATTCACTTCACTACATTGTACTATTCTTCGACGCTTGTTCTCTATGAATAGGGGACCAGTAGCGAAAAAATGGCACGGCTGATGGCGATAACGCCAAAGTACACGTGTTCGCCAATCCGCTGCTTGGATGAGTCAACCAAACCTTGAAAAAGATGGGTAGAAACATTCTCAGACTATCTAGTAGAGTCTCTTTTACAGAAAACTAACAATGTTCTCCATTGGCTGGTGCATAGCGGCAGATACTGGATGAATTGTACGGCAAGAAAAGAATAATCAATGAAAAATCAGTTAAGTATTAAGTACTCAATTCTATAAAAGGACCCGTTAAGTGAGACTAGTTCATTTTGACAGGACTCACTTCAGGAGAAAACTACTTAATAGGAAAAACTGCGACCAAATTTGAAACATATGAAGAATTAGTAGATATGTGCGCTCACCGCAAGTTCTTTTGATCAAGTTAGTCATACAGCTAATCACTAACGATTCAAAGTAAACAGATTGCATACTTCGCGTAAATGGGCCTTTTCTCTGAAAAAGAATCAAAACGAAAGAAAATGTTGATGAGTTAAACTGCAGCAGACTCACCACGTGGACCGGCAAAGATTACACGGTATCCAATGCTTGATTAAACCCTGACTGCAGTGTGGCAACCGAGAAAAACCTTCGTCTCACCTTCAGTATAGCTTTTTTTTAGCTGGCTAAAACTCGTGAATGGATTTCGCTAGAGTTGTAGTTGTCATTAGATAAACTGTTAATGATTTTAGCAGTGTACAATCTACTAAAGTTTCCAGTTTGCACTTGATTTAGATTTCCACTTTCAGAGACGAGATGTGCCATGGTATCAAAGAGTTATATCCTGACAGACTAGTTCATTGCATTCTAGAAAAAAAAACTGTGTAAGTCAATTCACTTAGGAGATAGTTCACATGGCGGAGCGATGACAAACGATGTGATTACAACAGACCGTCTTTTGGCATTTATCACTTTATTGAAAGAGTTGACGAGGAAAGTGCTTCAACTCTCCTTACACGGAATGAAAACGTTCGTGCATATTATCCGGTGGATATCGTGGCGATAGCCCTGAATGCGCCTCGTTGATCGATAAGCCTCAGTGTGTCAGTCTTCCCCACGCACTCCTTGCTTCAGTCGGGGTCCATCGAGCACTTCACGAAAGTTGCCTTGGCGACCGGATGGCAAGACAGGCTGGCACCTGGACAAACTGAGTGAGCTAGTTTTTCTGATTGTTATTTTCTATACAGTCGTGTTGTTCGCATAATTAGAATATCTTTGATTTTGTTTAACTGAACTAAAGAGCGATAATTGAGGAAACCAGCGGTTTTCGTGTTCTTGTGCTCATTTTTCATTGTTTATGGTTTTTTTCTTAATATGCTCTTGTTGTTTATCTCTTATCCTTGTGCCTCAAAGGAAAACTCCACTTTGTAGTCGGCTTCTTCGAAAAGCGGATTTCAGTCCATTAATACCATTGAAGAAACTCTTCTCCATTTTTACTCACTCAGTATTGAAAAGAAAGGTTTTTATCGCAAAATGTAAAGGTTGCACTCATGGTGACGTACTGACCCGTTCGTTGCAGAGCTTAACTAAGCGTGAAAAAGGAATTTTCTTAATTTGATGACGTGGGCTAGAATTCGCGAAGATTATTCCTCGTAACACACTTGCTTGATTGTGAACTAATCTTAATCTCAATTTATTTTATTTGACCCCTGTTGCTATGGTATGATGTTACAATAAACCCAGTAATGTAGAGAGGTGTGAAAAACATTTGCGCGAGCTGGGATTCGAACCAAGACTTCACCCTTTCCGAGAGTGCGTGCTGAACCGTTGCACTACCGCCGCCCGTTTTGACACCACTCTTTCTGCGCCACAACGCGTTATTTCTCAACAGCCAACCGTCTACGGTATGGCGTGAGCAGTCATTATCGACACTTAACCCACTCATGCTGGCAGATATAAAATGAAAATAAGAATAGTAAAATAGCAGTAATAAAAATAAGAGTTGAAAGCATAATAAAAACACAACAAAAGCATAAAAAGCGTAAAAGCGTAAAAAATAAGAGTTGACATCAACTAATATCTGGCTATATGCTTGAGAGGATCTCGAAATACAATTCGATTCCTTTTCGTGAGACGGTACCAAATCAAAAACCAATTCGTTTCGCTGGACAAGAAATTTTTATAAGAGTGTCAGTAATCATTCGAAAGCTTCATTCTCCGGCCAGTGCATTACGTGACCTTTTCTTGGCAAGACGCTTTTATGACGCTGTAGAATTTAAGATGGAATTTATGTTTCACGCAACGGCACGTTTTTTTTCTTATCATGTATATATTTCGCTGGACAAAACTTCTTCTGCATTACGTTTACATTATGGAAAAACTCTGTAAGAAAATACTCGGAATTAC